GTGTAACCGTAAAAACATCCACCCACACCAACACCAACACACACACACATACATACATACATACATACACATACATAAACGATGAGAAATAGAGAGTGTTTGTGCGTATGCGTGAATAATGTATGAGAATACGATGTATGAAAGGGGAAAAAAAACGAGAGAAAGAAAGAAAGAAAGAAAGAAAGGAAAAAAAAAAGAAAGAAAGAAAGAGCGCACGCGAGATGTGAAGATGATGTTCACGTTGAAATCAAACTCAGGGGAACGTAAAGATGAATCATCGTCTCTCGTGAGCAGCACTCGCAAGTATGGCGGATATCCGTGCTCCATGGATGGATGGATGGGGAGGAGAGGGGGAGGATTTTGATTCCAAAACGGCCTCGTTTTACACGCGTTTACTATTAACGGTGTCTATAACGGCGGGAATAACACCACACGATTTTGTGGATGGATTCGACAGACGGACAGACAGGAGTGAGGATATTTCGTTGCTCGATTAAATGAGCGCGTTCTGCGGCTTGACGTTTAGGGGTTGATGAGGGTGGACACGGGTGATTATGAAACATATCGAGGGGATTGACGCGGAGTTTCCGGATAGTTTCGCGATACATGCAAGATACCGTATCGTATTGGTTGATGGATGATCGGGGAGAGGGAGGGAGGGGGGAAGGAGGGAAGGGAGAGAGAAATCGTATTGGTTATTGGGCAGATTTAACTTGTTTTCTATTTGGATAATATATAATTATATAATTATATGGGTATAATTAGTTGGGTGATGATGCAAGACGAAGAATTTGAGAATTAATCAATCGGTATTTGTTCATTTGTTATCAAATTTGATTTATTAAACGTTGAAAAATGTTGGAAGAGATTTAGAAGAGATTTGAACAGCATTTGGAGATGATTCGTTTTGGAATGTTTTTTTAGAAAAATACAAGTTTGAAAAGAGTTTTTGGAGACTTGTGAAATAATTTTGTTTGCGAATTTTGGAAATCTTTTGCGTTGTTTTACGAGAAGCGAATTAATGCGAGTTATTAAGTTGTATTTTTTATGGCAATTTGAAATATTTTTTCAGAATTATTTTAAATAATTTACAGAAAAATTTTTGTAAATCGTTTTCGCTCCTTTTCCGCGAAATATCGAAGTAAAATTTTAAAACGAAAGTTTGTTGTGGATAATTTTTCCCTTCCTTTTCTGGATTCTACTACTTTTTCCTGCCATTGCGAACGAACGATCAATTTTCTTCTGTCAGAAATCCATTTCTACATTGAGAATCATCTGTCACTTGAAGGGAAAGAATTTCATCCGTCATTTCGAGCAGATTTCATTGTTCTCTGATATCATTTTCCAACACGACAGCTTCTCCGTGCATTAACAATTTTTCAATTTATAAAAATTAACGAGAGCGATTAATAACGAGAACATTAATCAGGATGAATTAAATATCTCTCGATGCAACAAAGCATCGATCGATAAATTAAATCAAAGAGACAGATTGAACACAATCGTTACTCGTGAGAATACATTCGCAAAGAAAATAATAAAAATTATTTTCGAGAGTAAAAAATAATAAAAAATAATCGATTAAATAATTACAATATTCTTTTTTACTTATCGAAATTGAAGTAGAACTCCATCAACCAAAATTTGCATTCCTTTACGCGACTAGCAAGGATAAATTTTATATTGAAAATATTCGATAAAAAAGAAGAAAGAGGAAAAAACATCAAGCTGCAGATGTGTCTACGATCCACGTCTATAATCGATATTTTCACTTAATCCAGTGTTTTCCAATATAAGAGAATATAATATATGATCATCCTCAGAGCCATAATATGAATATCTTTTGCAATAACTTGATACTTTGTCATAATATATAATAAAAGTTTAATAATTGTTCGAGAAAAGTCCAAGTTTTTGGATAATTAGAGAATTGAAGTTTCCTTTATATTTTGCCAAATAAAAAAAGAAAGGATTCCTTTTTTCAAATAATAAAGATGCTTTTGGATATTTGTGCTGTGTTATCCAAATTTTACTTTTATATTAATCAAAAAACGATTAATAAAGAGTTGAAGAGCATTAAAATTTTTAGAAAGTGCGACATGATCCAAAAGATTGAGTGAGCATTAAAGTGTAGCACGATACAAAAGATATTAAAATCCTTATTAAAAAAAAAAAAAAAAATAGTTCAAAAAAGATTGGGAAACGCTGGATCTGATTGAAAAA